GACATTTCTTAGTAATTAGCAGTGATATTGGACAAACTAATACGCGTTTGGCTATAAGGTAATGTACTTATTAACTACACAAGGTGCCAGTTACTGTAGCATTCGTCAACTTTGCATAATCGATGGAAATATTATGCCTTTAAATATATAAATTATATACGTACACATATATATATACATAAATGAAATGTACCTATTGCTCAAGGCAGATGATTCGTGCTTGAAGGCCTGCTCCATACGAGTTGCATTTGTGGTTAGATTGTCAACCATGAGTTGTCTCCGTTCCATCTCCCTCTGCGTACTATGTCACCATTTAAGACATCAAACGTCTCAGATATAAGCCTTTACAATCGTGGGATGAATTACATCGCAGATAGATTGTTGTAGAGCAGAACAACTACCTCAAACATTTATTACAAGAAAAGTTTTAACAGGTTCACCACCATTGGCAACACCAGCCTGTATAACTTCATGTATGTATTTGTATGAATAACATGACAGATTGTTTATTATATACTCCAGATTTCATCTATGCAATATTTTTACCGACTTCCACTAAGCATACTTTGTGTTGATTATATTATATGAGAATGCTTTCCTTATTTCTAGTCCATTTATAAAAATAGCTCAAACCTCTAAGCACCCACCATCTACATTTCATTAAAGTTTTACTGGTGCAGAGATTTTACTCTATAACTATAAGCAGCAACTTGCGTACAAACCTAGATGTCTCTGAAGTGTGTCTGATAAAAAGATTTCAGCTGACAGGTGGCAACATTGGGTGCAAAATGAACTTTGTGTAGAAATAAATGAATGTGCTCATAAACCGTCTAATACTGTCACATCACAGCCTGAATCATGTCTTGATAGGAACTCGTTTGGAAGGATACATTTGGAATGTTGATGCTGATCTCATCACAGACTGCTTCAGATTGCTGACCTGGTTTCCATACGTCACTAACATCTGTCGTATTATCGATGATAGCTAGAAGTAAATCAGTACACTCATAGGAAAAAGGGGATGGTGGTGATGGTAAGGCTTGGTGGTAGCAGCGGTGGTGGTGATAGTAGTGATGATGGTAGCAGTGGTGGCAGGGGAATAGTCGTGCCATCATCACTTCTAACGCACAAAATATATCATGAAATATCAGTGAGCATGATCTATTGCTATTGGGCCTAATGCTATTGCGATTAATCTATAGTTTTATGCAGCATTACATTCCTAGGACAAATAAGTTCTTGTGATTACTACTACAAACCTTAGCAAGTTTTGCTTTGTCGCCATGAAGATTATTTCTTTGATTGATCTTCTCCATAATTTCCTGGCTAAGTCTAGCACAGGAATCATGGTCTTGTAACCTTCAACAAGTAATAGTATTAGTAATATATTAAACATAATTTACATGTACATACACTTACTGAGCAAACCCTCTGGCGCCTTACATTGTCTCATAAAGTTACAATTACAAATACTCAACGACTATGCTAGCATCCTTTCCAACAGATCAACACGGTAATATAGGATGTGATATGCAATTGCTCTTATTGGGTGTAGGCTGCATGGCAAGTTACTGGAGAGGAAGTGGAGTATATTTATACCTAACTGCTATTTAACCAAACGATATTTATTTTAGGACGTCCATATTATAACTGAACCTAAAAGTTGTTTATAAGACATTGCAAATCTTCTCCTCCTAAATTAATGAATTAGAAACACCCTCGGTCTGTAGCCTGCACCCGAAAAGTTGCGATGAGCAATTTTGAAGCAGATGGGCGAGTAGCGGCGCCACCGTCGTTGTAAGCAACAATACAGCCGTTACTTTTAAAACATTAAAAAAAATATTTTCAACAAATATTGAACAGTGACATTTTTTATTAGCACAATTTAAACCTATTCTAACTGAAAATGTGCAAGGAACCCTAGGGTCAAGTATCCCTTTAAATAAACATGAATTATATTTACTACCAAAGTCTCAATGTTAACGTACTTTTCCCCCTCTCTCTAACTCTGTTTCTCTCTCTCTCTCTCGCTCTCTTTCTTTCTCTCTCTCTTTCTCTCTCTGTCTCTCTCTCACCTAATAATCCCACAGACATGCAGTTCCAATGATCCTCTAGATAACAGACAATCTCACTGCACGTACACAACTGTGCACAAACTCACAGAAAGAGTCTTTTGATAAGAAATTGTATGTTGTAAAAGAGCATTTGAACAATTTAACATAAAATTATTAGATATAAAGTACAAAAACATTAATACTTTTGTAGTAACAAGTGCCGCAGAATGACAGCGCTCAACTGACGTGTACTGTAGCCAGGTATTCTTCTGATAAACTCACTGGCAACCGAATCAAGTGCGCCCTCCTGCCTCCGCGTTCTAATAGCAAAAGCAGTTGCCGCGAGATGGCGCGTGCAAGTGTCATCAATAATCAAAGATGGCATCGCCCTTCGTGCGTGATAACCTCACTCCATTGAGTTGCTGAAATCCTACCGGCTAAAATCCGAGTATATTCAGGCAGGCAAGAATTTCACTCAGCTGTGAGTTAACACATCTGCATTGCAGGTTGCCAGGCAATAATTATGATTAGAATAGTGCCAGTTCACCCCGATGCATGCGTAATGGTCTGCCCCCGTGTTTTTGCCTACCCACGCGAGCATTCAGGGTGCTATTACCGTGCGCTAATTAATACAGGGTGCTACTCAGGGTGCTAATACAGACTGCTTTAGAAAATAATATGATTTAAGGAGCATAAACCTTGTTCAACAAACATTTGCCTTTGCAATTGGACTGTGCAACTGTAGCCTCACATCCACAATAGCAAAAGCAGTTCAGTCCTTTGTTAACAGTCAACAAATCATGTTTAACCCTCCTCTTGAGGGTCAAAAGGTTATCAGACACTTACTCGTCGCACGTCAGCGGAAAGTACATTTCATGGTCCTTTCAATAAAGTGATAGAAATGGTAGGTCAGCGCTGAAACAAAAAAGTTTTCACTCGGTTCGTTAGACCATGTCCTCAGAAAATGTCTGATATCTGACCTTTCCTCCACTGCCCTTTGACCTGTGACCTCCAATTTCGCACTGGTGATGGGTTACCTCCCCATCACACTGTACATCGAATATTAAGAGCGTAGGTCGAGCCGTTGAGATTTGTGCCACAATTCTGTATTTCCTCCTATACCTTAAGTTAAGGGGAAAATATTCCCCCTCCATTGACACATCTTGACCTTTGACCCTTGACCCCACAAATTCGACATCCCGGGTCCTTTTCGTGACCCTCCCCTCCCCCGACGTCCCGAATATCAAGACCGTACGTCGAGCGGGTAAGATTTGTGCCCAACTGTTGACGGATGGATGCACGGACGCACGGACAATCATGCGATTCTACAAGCTGCATCTGACTTCGTCAGCTGTAGCTAAAAACCAGCTAAAAACTGAGCTAAAAACCAATACTTAATTACCAAGTGAAATGACCCAATTACCCATGAATTCACAGGCTAAGGGGTTGCAAGATTCGTCTACCACACTTCTACTACTAGTAGTTGCTTCAAAATATGTAGCTCCTTAATATCTGGGTTTCCACTATCGACTTCATGCTGGCAAATTGTCAAACTGGACCAATTTCGCAATTACAAAACCGACAATCGGCAGTGTAAACGTAAAAGTCGCGCGTGAAACTGGTTAATAGCAACTGGATTGGAGATTACAACCCATTCTATATTTGCAACTCGGTGTTGGCAAATTGTACGTTTTTACCATGCAGCCACTCAGAGAACAGCAATCAGGATGTGTGTCCCTCCACCAAGAGGGAGAGCACGTTTTTGCTATTGGTGCCACGCTGGCGCGAATTAATACAGTTGAACCCCGAATTTACGCGCCCTGATTTAACGTGAATTCGGATATAATGCAATGAGTCGTTGGACCCCCTTTTTGGCTCAAGGATAGAGAGCATGTCTAGTAATAAACATCATCCTATCCTATCACTGTCCTGGACATCATCTCTATCCTTGAACCCCCTTTTTTGCTCTTATATAGCCACATGTATATAACCCCGATTTAGTGCGACCCCGCTTTTTTCGTGATAACATTTTATGGACCCCAACCATCACGTTATAACGGGGCTACATAGTACATGTACATGCTAAAATGCGTACCGACGTCGCCCCGCGCGCGCACTGTGGGTCAAATGTAGTAGTAGTAGTAGTAACATTATGAATACAACATACTGATCATCATCAGCAGTTAGCTCTCCAGTAGTACTATATAGCCCTTGTTCAAGTTGTTGCCACAGGCTGTGGCAACAACTTGTGTCACATGTGTCTAAACAGAAGAATTGCTCCGACCTGTGATTGGAGGATAAAAATAGAATTTGTGACGTGTCATTTTCATTTTGGCATTTAGCCTATGAGCGATACCGCGCGTACATATTTGCTAATTAATTAAGCTAATCGTGCTTCAATAAACTCAAAATTCACAGAGATTATAGCTAAGACACGTGTCTATAATAGCTAGAAATTATAGCAATGTAACTCAAATCGTTTGCGCCATATGATAGTTATAGTACACTTTCCTACCGGTCATAGCGTTATTTATCGTATGCGGCGGGGTATGCAAAATGAAAAACGAAACATCACGAATTCTATTTTTATCCTCCAATCANTCTATCAATCTGCAAATTCACTCACGTTTATATTTGCACCACTGAACACATTGCTAGCACCCAAATAATTGAAATTCAATCATCGATTTGCATCTTGTTCAAATCTTTAGTTTGATGAGGAGTGTAATTATGCAGAGACATAATAGCAGATAAGAGTGAGAATGAAACTAACTGTAAACTCCATTTATTACCAACGCCCGAGAGATGTTCTATTGTATCCATATAACGGATCCTCTAACTTAGCCAGAGTCAACGCTACGCATGAGCGCTATATATTGTTACATCCTTTCTCCTTTATAAAAGAACAAACTTTAAACTAATTACCGTTGACCATTACTCAACAAACAAACATTACAGAGTCTCGACAAGAAAATCTCGCTTCCGATTTCTATAGAAGTAAAGTATACCCTTCATCTTGAGTACATTAAATTAAATCAGTCTTGCACTGCTTCAAACTGTCTGACTCATCTAAACACAACTTTCTAGTAAACTGAACTCGAATTAACTTGTCATGTTGCTACTTTGAATAATGATTGGTTCATCCTAGCACTGTACTTCTCACAGATTAAGTTTGACCGGTTTGTAAACCTTCCTGCCACATCTCGACACAACCACTGGAGTGCGTGTCGATGTCTTCAACTCAGGTGGCGGTCTTTTGGGAGGACTGCCTGCGATTATTGGCCTGTCAGCTCGCAGTGATGCATCGGCAGTCCTTGGAGAACTCGGAATTGCATCCGAGTGTGTCACCGGAATGTCCTCATACTCCTGCACATCCCGTAGCTGCTTGTCCTCTGCCGATTTCCGTAGATGACGTCGGTTACGCCGCAAGATCCTTCCGGATTCCGTTTCGACGTTGTACGATCGTGTGGACACCTCTTGTTGTACTGTACCTTGTTTCCACTCCTTCTGTCCTTGCGAAGGTGCAATACGAACAGTGTCACCCACCGTGAGCGGTTCTAGGTTTCTTGCGCCACGATTGTAATAGAGCGCCTGTTTCTCCTTTATCGCCTCTAGTTGACGAGACACAGATTTCGGAATCTGTGGTTTTAGTAGAGTTGCCTTCATTGGCAGTAGCGTTTGAGTGCGACGGTTCATTAACCGTTGAGCTGGACTGCTGTCCATAGACTGCGACGGGGTATTGCGGAAGTCTAGAAGCGCCAAGTAAGGATCAGTTTTTGAAACTTTGGCTAGGTGCATAAGTCGTTTAGCTGTCTTCACAGCCTGTTGCGCCTTCCCATTGCTTTGCGGGTAGCCTGGAGATGTCACCACATAATCAAATCCCCATTCTCTCGCGAATCTGCGAAATTCCTCCGCACTGAATTGTGGGCCGTTGTCGCTGATTACCGTGTTCGGTACACCGTGCCGTGCAAACTGAGCACGCAACTTTCTTATCACCGTCGACGACTTCGTATCTGGGAGATAGTCAACTTCCCAGAAGTTTGAGAAATAGTCCACGGTTATGAGGTAGTTTTTCTCATGTAATATGCAAATAAATCGCACAGTATGTCATGAGAAATGAGTTTCCTTCTGCTGATTGTTTTCGTAGGTCCGACAGCTCTCACACCGACTGATGTACTCGCGAATCTCAGCATTCATGTTGGGCCAATATACAGTTTCACGGGCCCTTCGGAGACACCCTTCGATGCCGACGTGAGACGAGTGAATTCTTGAGGTTATGTCGGAATGCAGT